TCTAATAATTTAAATATCAATCTCTTAAATTATGCAGAAAACAAAACATGGGTTACAAACTAAAGTTACAATACTAGCTTTTAGACTAATTTTTTTTAAATGTATTGGTCTGTTAAATAACATAGAAAACAAAAAGTAAAGTTTCACACCATTGTTACAATAACACTAGCTTTTGTAAATCCCACATATTTACCTTTATTGAAATCCTTAGTTATTTATTTCTTCATACAGCTTCAAGTTATTGTCTAGTGTTCTTTTATTTCAACTTGCAGGCTTCACTTTAGCATTTTCTGCAGGAAAGGTTTACTGGTAATAAACTTCCTCATATTTTTATCTGCAAATATCTTAATTTCTCTGTCAACTTTGAGGGTCAATTTTGCCAGACATTTAACTCTTGGTTTCCTTTTTTTTTTTACTTTTGGCACTTTGATATATTAGCCCATTGCTTTGGGCCTTCAAAGTCTCTAATGAGACATCTGCTTATAAACTTACAGAGTACTCCTTTTATGTGATGAGTTGCTTCTCTCTTGCTGTATTAAAAATTCTGATTTTTAACAGTTTGATTGTAATGTACTGTGGTTTGAGTCTCTTTGAGTTCATCTTACTTGGACTTTGTTGAGCTTCTTGAATAACTGTTTTCACGTTTTTCATCAACATTGCAAAGTTTTCAGCCTTTACTTCTTCACATATAATTTCCTCCTATTTCTGTTTCTTTTCCCCTTTTGGGACTTCCAAAATGTCTATGATGGTCTGCTTGATGTTGTCCCACAAGTCTCTTAGACTCTCTCTGTTCACTTTTCTTCAAACTCTCACGTTTTTTCTTCATTTCCAGACAATAATTTACATTGTTCTTTCTTAAAGTTTGATGATTCTTTCTTCTGCCTGTTCAAATTTGCCATTGAATCTCTCTAGTAAATTTTTCATCTTTCATTTCAGTTGTTACACCTTTCAGCTTCAGAACTTCTTCCATTAATTCATATTGAAACTCTTCTTTTGATATCATTTTAGGTTTTTCCCTCTATGTTTCCATTATGTTTATACAACTTTTGTCTTTCTCCACATCTTCCTTTATTTTCTTTAGCATTTTTAAGACAACTGTTCTGAAGTTTTTGTCCAGTAGATGCACCATCAGGTTTTTTCAGGGACAGTTTTTCTTGGCATGTATTTTTTTTCCTTTGAATGAATCATGTTTTCCTGTATTTGTATGCCTTGTGATTTTGTTGTTGAAAGCTGGATATATGAATCTAATAATGTGGTAACTTTGAAAATAGATTTTCCCCCTTCTTCAGGGTTTGCTGAATTGTTTTTAATTGTTGTAGGCTGTCTCTTTGCTGAGGATCAGACTGAGGTATAAATTTAAGATTTTCTCCAGTCTTTTCCGAACCTACTCTTTCTCCTGGATATGTGTGATGACTTTCTAAATTCTCCAATGTATATGATTACTTTTGAATTTTCTAGTCTTCAATATCTGGCTCCCAAAAGGGGAAAATGAATAAAATAAAGATGGAGGGAGGCACCATCCTTTTAAATTCTCTGGAAGTCATTTCAGACAGAGGGGGAGAGGCTTTCAATAATGGTAGAAGGTGTCACAACAATGGCCCCTGTCTCTTTGCCTGCACCTCTGTGATAAGAAGCAGCAATCAGTGATCACAGCATAAATCTCCAACATCTGGGGGACAGGGTCCTTAGTATCTACCCTCACTCTTGCAAGATGTGTGCAGGTTGCCCCAGGGGAATTTGCATAGCTGCCATTGTGATGAGGGTAGAGAATGAGTAGCTGTTAGTGTGATAAGAGTGAAAATTGACTGAAATTAAGTGTAATTTACTATCCAAGCATTCCCCTGAAATATGCAAGCTTTCAATAGACTCCGGAGTTCCAAAATCGTTATACCAGACAGATTCTCGATGAGGAGACAGATTTCTGCTGCTTCCTACTCTGCCATTTTCCCAGAATCCTCTCCTAAGTTTCTTTTTATTTTGGATAAAGAAGCTCTCCTTCACTTTTGCTACTATTGGCTAGGCTTCTTGTTACTTACAGTCACATGCCTAAAAATTAATGCTGTCATTGACTGTTAATCAAATTGTTGCATAAAAATATAATCAAGTGTGCCTAGATTTTACACTAAAATGCTTTTTTAACTCAAATTGGTTTGACTTGGTTTAGTTCAAAGCAAAGACTTTTACATGGCACCTTCTAAAAAGAGAAATTATTATACATATTACTTCAAGTGAAAAAAGAAATATGAATACTGAGAGGTTTTCTATAAGCTATTGTTATAAATAGACTAGGTAAAGTGAAAACTGCTTACAAAACTAACAACACATACAATTTTTAATCAAAACCTATTTCAGCAAAAATGTAAAAACATTGGAATAAAGAATGATGGCAGCTTTTTGAAGGAATTTGGCAACTTCAAAAATTTGCAGTGACTTCAAATATATTTAAATATTTATTAAATAAAGATATAATTTTATCTGTACTCATGATAGCTAAAGAAATACAATTTTTATTTACTTATTTAGTTAGTTAGTTAGTTGTTCATTCATTCATTCATTCATTTATTCTGGCAGCTGTCTAGTGTGTGCATCTCAACCCCTGATCTTGGTGTTACAACACTACACTATAAACAAGTAAGTTATCTAGCCAGCCCTAAATATTTATAACAATAAATTACATTTATCTTATATAGACTTTTCAACTATTACTGGCAAACTAAATTTAGAAAAACGTATATGAAAATCACATTAAATTTCCTCAAAATTGTCTACCAAAAAATTAACAATGACCAGTAGAATGTGAGCTTTTTTCTTCCCCATCCCTATTTTGTGGTAGTAGAGGGAAGTAGTTTTTCATCACAAAATTTTCAAATCTATCCCGGCGATTTGTTTCACACAATTTGATGGCAATCATTTTGATTCAAATAAAATCCATACACCTGTGGTCTGTGTTCATTAAATATCTATCTGTTTTGAAGCCCATGATTATTAAGGTTAAAAAACTAATTTTACTATTATTCTTCAAAGGACATAAATTTAAGTATTTAGACAAGAAATGTGCTACCAGAATGTGAGAATATCACTTTCAGGTAATCACTTTCTTCTTCAGGAATCAACTATATATTCCCACATATAAATATATCTCTAAAATTATATTATAAATAATAAATAAATTAAAGAAAATCGTTTGTTTGAAAAATACATGTTTTGGTCTCTACTCGTATTCTAAATACTCCAAACTATCATAATTTTAAAGCTTAATGACACCTTATTGATCATAAGAATGAGAAAATAGGAACCTAGAAATGCTAAGTGACCTGACAGAGGAGAATTAAAGTACATCAGGAAACTATTGAAAAATGCCTTAGAAAGAATGAAACCACTAGTTATAACCCAGAACTTATCAGTAGATTGTGAGTATGCTAGATATCTAAGTATACTATTTATTTTCCATCTGTTGCCTTGTTTTATTTATAAGGCCAGACTTAAAAAAACCTAGCTAACATCATTACTGATTTATTCAGTTCTGATTTATAATATGATATGTCTCAAAGCTATGTACTATCCTTTTTTTTTCTTTCTTAATGGTTGATCTGAATGTTCCTTCTTAATTTCACATCACTCTAATTATATCCCTTACTCTATGCTAAATAATTCCTCCTCCTCCTCAGATATTTTCCCCTCAGTTATTGTCTAGCCAAATTACACATTAAACTTTTGTTATAGGTCAAGTTTTTCAATTATTTCCTTCTAGAGGATCTCACTGACTTCTTTACATACATCTAACACAGGCACACTGTAATAATCAGAGCTACTGCATATATACCAATTCATCATAGGTTTTATTTTTCTTCATTCTTCCATTATCTAAATATCTTATATTAGCTATTTCTTAAAACTGTTCAGTATATTTTATTTTCTATGTATAGTTCTTTAATATCTGAAAAATGTTAAATAGTTTATTATGGCTAGATCATAATTATCAAATTTAATTAATTATCCCCATTTATTTTTCTCATTTTTAATTCAGATTATTAAGGAATCAATCTTCTATATTTTTATTAAGATATATTTTTTTCAGAAATACTCCTCAAATTAATGTGAGGAGTACATCATCATATGCCCCTGGCCAAGGTATCTTATATAACAAAGTCATTTCAAAATCATACACGGGAAATACGTTGCTATTTGAATTGGGTGAACCTTGCTTATACATCTACACTATATCTGAAATTATTTTCAGACAGCAGCACTAAGTTAGCACATAAGCACTTGATAAATGAAAAAATGCATAAATCATGGCATAGAAACGATGAAAAAACAATTACTAACAACCAAAATAATACAATGCATAGAAATCAGGACGGTGGTAGTTTTGAACAGGGTGGTTTGAAGAATACAGACCAATGAATTTAAAACACTCTGGAATGAGTAAAAACTTTATTTATTCTTCAAACTGATTTTAAGATCCAGAGGAAACAGAATTAACCTTCTCTTGAATTATGAGCCTATTAAACCACTTAGATCATCAAGGATTACTCAGGTTTCTGAGCGGAATCAATCAAATCAGTGTCCTAAGTGCTTAAAGATATTTATCCACAAAACCAATTCCCTACTCCCACCTCCACAAAAGTGACATTAAGGAGAAGAGATTACAACACAGTAAAATCTCCAGAACACATCTCATAGTGCTGTGTGTGCAGATGAAAGACACAATGGAATACTTACTAGAATAAAGTGATTTCATTTCCTACATCAATCGGGTAAAAATGCTGATCACAAATATCTGTTGTGTCAAGTCAAAGGCTGCAATATTATAACACAGTGTAGGTGCATAAGAGCCTTTGAGAAAAGAGCACTTCTCCTAGCAATTCTAAGAAGTTGTTCCAGGTGAGAAAGATTAATTCATGACTGTAATAAATTGTTTTAAAGTACAAGACTATAAGACTCTCTCAGTTTCTTTAATACTATTTTTATAACCCTATTCCAGAGAGCATACTCACCCCGTCTGGTCTGCCATCTGAAGCTGTGATGATCAAAATGTAGCGATCAGTGCTCTCCCTGTCCAGTGCTTTGCCTAAGGTTAGAATCCCAGTACTAGTGACAGAGAAAACGAACAAAGAAATAAAACACAAAAAGACAATATGTCACAAGAGGGTCTTCATACGATAGTGAACTACTCTTGATAGGTTTGTCTCCCTCAGCAATCATAGTCTGAGTATTTAAGATGGATGACACCAGGATTCATACTGATAATTGAGAAAACTTTCAAGGCTGTCAGGCTTCTTAACCATAATGATAAATTGCAAAACTGAATGAGATAACTGAGTTGATTCTCTAGCCTCCAGGGGAAAAAAAAAAAAAAAAAAAAAAACAACAAAAAAAACACACAGGCACAAAATAAATATGTTTAATTCATTCCAGAAAGAATGGTATCAATCATGTTTGTGATTATTTCAAGGTAAAGGACTCCATTTTTCTTTAGCAGTCTCAAAATACTCTTAGTCAACGAATGCTTTCTTATAACTAATCTGCATCAACTTCCAGTTCATTGTTACAAAGATGTCCATTACGGAAATACAAACCATCTAAACTCCATCTTTGACAAAGCCCGTGGATAAAAGTTTATTTTTCATTTTTCCTAATTTCAAAATAATAGAAGCTCATACTGAAAAATTAGAAAATAAAGAGAAATGTTTTGATTATAGAAAAAAATTATGGTTATTTTTGTAATATTTCTTTTTGTTCTATTTTATAATGACATTTAAATATATAATTGTTTTCATAAAAGGAATCAGGCTGTATATTTTATATTCTTTTGAAGAAAATATAATTTTATTAGCATGCACTCTCTCATTTTATAATTTGTAAAAATGAACTCTTTGTGAAACACTAACAATATTATCATTTTGTTATTTTTTTGAGATTTAGGTGGTTCTTAATTTAATTTATATATAATGGGAAATGAACAACATTTGGCCAATTCTTATACTTAGAATATTTTCATTCCTACTCCTTATTCGCTGCCACAAATACATGCTTCCAGATATTTATTTTCTTTGATATCAGTTTGGTTATTTGTATTACTCTCTAAAACAAGTTCAATAAATACTTATTATATTTTACAATCTGACACTCACTGTACCTGACATTTTAAAAATGCCCTAGCAAGTATCTACTAAAATATTTAGTATGAACTAAAATATTTATCAAATATAAAAACATAATTTGTTTCTTTTTGATAAAAAGCTCTCATTTTAAGGTAAGTGATTATATTGTAAGGTGGAAGTTAAATTCACACCCCACATATGGTAGTTAAGTACAAAGAGGTAAAGCCAATGAATCAAGGTCAGAGTCACAGTTAATCCATTTGTTTATTTTTATTGTTGGTATTGACATGGACATTAAAAAGTTCTAAACATATGGTATGACTGAAAAACTACTTTACTTCTTGTACATTTTTAAAATGTTTTTTCAAATAGCTGGAAAAGAATTCCCAGAGTATGTTTAAAACTATGAGGTTTGGATCAACTTCTTACACTGCAGATGGTTCATATAATCTCATTTTAAAATGACATTCAAAGAGAAAAGTAAGACATTTCTTGCTACTGAGACTTATTCACAAGCAAATTAAGAAATAGGAAATCTGAAAACAGCTGCAGTAAAATGAAAGAAAAAAAATTGGATTATTGCCCCCCCCCATTAATGTCTCTATGTTCCTATATTCTTCCTCTATATTCTTGCATATTAAATTGGAAAATTACTAAAATTTTATATAATATTCCTTTTTAGGGCCATATTACACATAAACAGCCAATTTTTTTTTTTTAAAGTATAACCAAATTAATTCAATTTAATTATCATGTCAAAACACCTTGAATTCTTAGGATTTTCTAGTTCCAATTTCTTTTTTTTTTTTTTCAAAGTTGCAGTATTTTTTTTTTTTTAATTTTTATTTTGTCAATATACAATGTATATGATTATTATGGCCCTTCACCGACACCTCCCGCCCTCCTCCCTCTCTCCCCTCCCCCCCAAGAATGTCCTTTCCGTTTTTTATGGTCTGATGATTATGATGGATACACTCCATTGCTTGAGATGATATGTGCTTTGTGACTCAATGTACAAGCAATTGAATGGGATATCTGGGAGACAAGAGAAGGAGGAAGAGATTAGGTAGTGTATTTTTGGTATTCATAGCTGAAAAACTAGTTTATGAGTACACATGAGCATTTTTTCACAAAATCCCAGAAATAACTGGCAAAGAAGAGTTGTGTTATTGGCTGAGTAGAGGCTATCAGGCCAGAATACATTGGGCTACATTTAGAAATGCAATAAATTTTGTAAGTTCATATATTAAAAGTATATAAGTATCATTTCTGATAAAACATCAATAGTGTTACCTAATTTTACAGGATTGAAAATATATTGCACAGGAGTGATGTCAGTGAAAATGATAAAGTAGACAGCTCCAAGAGACGGCTTTGCCACAAAAACATTGAAAAATAAAAATCAAGCAGGTAAGGTAAGAACCAACTTTGATGGAACTCTGGCAAACAGTCAAAGGTTTACAGCATTGAAATGAATACAGAATACAAAAAAAAAAAAAAAAGAAAAGAAAAGAAAAAAGCAGCTGGGTACGGTAGAAACACTATGTGCTATTTTTACTTGTCTTTGTTCCACCCTCTCCCTGCCTCAGGTTGGTCTTGAAAATGGTAGTCAATGTTCCCAGTGTGGCACTCTGGTCCCTATTTCTGGAGGAAGCAAAGCTAGAATTGTGGTGGTCTATTCTAACCTACCTGGAGCATGTCTGAAAAAATGGTACTTTTGTTCGTTTAGCCAAACTCAGAACTCACACAAGGCAGAAAAGCAGTGGACATTCCACTAAAACACTGAAAGGCAAGGAATAAACCACAATCACCTGAGGCAAAAGATAAAGACCTGGTAGGAAAGCCTGGGTAGAGAGTTTCTTGGAAATTAGGGCATCTGAAAGTGTACTGGGGAATATATAGGCCACAGAATTAAGAGTCCACATATAAACCCGTATATCTATGGCCAATTGATTTTCAACAAGTATGCCAAGATCATTCAATAGGGGGAAAAAAATAGTCTCTTCAACAAATAGTGCTGGGGCAATTGGAAATCTGCATGCAAAATAATTAAATTAGACTACCTTTCACCATATTAAAAAAAAAAAAAACTAAGAATGAATCAACAATCTAATTATAAGAACTGAAACAAAAAAACTTGTAGATAAAAACGTAGGGATAAATCTTCATGATCTTGTAGATATGACATCAAATGCACAGGGTACAAAAAGAAAAATAGGTATATGGGACTTTATCAAAATTTTAAAAACTTTTGTGTATCAAAAGATATTACCATGAAAGTAAAAAAACAACCTACACAATGGGAGAAAATATTTTTGAATCATATATATGATAAGGGCTTGGTTTCCAGAATATATAAGGAACTTTTACAACTCAAGAACAAAAAAACAAACCAGTTAAAAAAAAGTAGGCAAAGAACATGAACAGACATTTTTCCAAAGAAGATATACAAATGGCCAACAAGCACATGAAAAGATGTTCAACATTATTAGTCATCAGGGAAATGAAAATTAAAACCACAGTGAAGTACCACTTCATACCCACTATGGAATTTATAATTAAAAACAAAACAAAACAAACAAACAAATAAAAAATAGAAAAAAAAAAAAAAAAAAGGGCTGGCCAGTTAGCTCACTTGGGAGAACATGGTGCCAATAACACTAGGGTCAAGGGTTCAGATCCCTTTACCAGCCATCTGCTAAAAAAAGAAAAAAAAAAAGGACAATAAATATATTGGTAAAGATGCAAAGAAATGGCAACCCTTAGACATTGCTGGTTGGAATGTAAAATGGTTCAGTCACTACGTGAAACATGTGTCAGTTCCTCGAAAAGTTAAAACACAGAATTACAATATGCTCCAGCAATTCTATCCCCAAGTATATACTAAAAAAACAAAAATGAAAATGAAAACAAAACAAATCTAAAAATGGGCACTTAAATACATGTACATATATATGTTCATAGCAGTAGTATTCACAATAACTGGTCAGGTAGAAAAACAGTACAAATTCCCATCAATTTATGAAAGGGTAAACAACTTGTTGTCTATTCATACAACGGCATACTATGCAGCCATACTATGCAGTGCTGATAGACGCTGCAACATGGATGAATTCTGTAAAATTAGGCTAAGTGAAAGAAGCCAGACAAATAGTCATACATTACATGATTTAATTTATAAAAAATATATCAAGAGTAGGTAAATCCATAGAGAGAGAACACAGATTGGTAGTTGCCAGAAGCTGAAGGTACAAGGGAGTAGGGAACACTTTCTTAATGGATTCAGGTTTGTTTGTTTGTTTTTTGGAGTGATGAAGATATTTTGGAACTAGATAGAATTGGTAGTTGTATGACATTGTGAATCTACTAAATGCTACTGAACTGTTCACTTTAAAATGGTTAATTTCATGCCTTGTGAATTTCATCTCAATTACATTAATTATATTGCACAGAATATATATAATTATATTGCACTAAACTTGAGGGCTACATTCCTGAAGTGTATTGTGCTTGACAAAAGCAAGCTCTTTTAGGCAATATGATTTTCATAAGCATAAAAATGGTGCTCAAAATTTGTTTAAAAAATTATTTAAAAAATGTAAATAGAAAGTAATAGAGGATATATACTTCCAAACCATTCAAACTGCCAGAATTTAAAGTCTGCTTCTATATGTAACCATTTTCCTAAATTGCATTGATTACTAAGAAAAATTACAGCAGCATTATTACAGACTGAGAGAGATCACCTCATATGTTATGGTATGTAGACTATGCTTCCTTTAAACTTTGTCAGTAAGTTCTACAAGTTGTGTCTTAACATTATTCACACTTGCAAGAGTCTGAGACTTCACATATTTATCATGCTGCTTTGGACACCATGTTTCGAGCCTTATAATGATATTTAGAGGTGTTAGAGTTTACTTCAAAATATGAGGTGCTTCAAGTTTGGCATGGAATTCAATGTTAAATAGTGATTGATGATTAATAAATGCAGACCAATAGAGCTAAGTATTGATAGCAATTTAGGGAAAAGATGATGGTTGCATGAACTAAGATGGCAGAGTGAAAAGTGTGAGAAGTAGTTTGATCCAAATATATATTTTTAAAATGGAAGTGAGCTATTAGGAAGGAAAATGCATATTATCTTTCTTATATGTTATTTAAACTTCAATGGGATCATAAAATTCAAACTGATTTGAAAAACATAATCAAGCTTTAAATTTAGTGTCAAAAATGAATTAGATAACATTAGAAAACAATTAAAATGTCAGGGAAGAAAAAATTTCCTCAAGTAAAATTTGAATAAGAGACAAAAATAATTTTTGGAAATTCTCTTTTTAGCATTTGGCTTTCAAGTGCTACATCACATCCCCTATGCTACAATAATGACAATCCAGAATAATCTGAGAGATGGCAATTTCTCAACTTCCCGTGATAAATAACTTAAATATTTGGCCACCATATTTATAGGGGAATTTACTTTACATTTTATTTAGATGTTTACTTATTTATGGATGTTAGCTAAATAAACATATGCTGAATCATACGCAACTATTAACCCAGATACTATGAAAAGTTATTAAAATAATGTGTTTTACCACAGAATCACACAGATTATGATACAGATTTGGCCTTTTAATATGTAGTAGTACTAAATGATTTTATAATCAATGTTTATGTTTTTTAAAGAACCAAGGCCTTTTTTTTCAGAGTGAGTTCTTTTCTTGGCTACGTGAATAACCCAATTTATTAAAATGTATACCAATCCAGTACTTTGTGAAACCACACTAATATTGACATGATTATTCATCACTACTAATATTTTTTAAAGAGTTACAGGAAACATTTTGGCATGGTTTTATTTCAATGAAAGAAAATAAAGTAATGGTATAATGATGATTATTGCTGGCATTTGCAGTATAGCATAAATAATATAGTGAAGTAAATAATAAATATGCAACATTTTTGGTTTGTTTTAAGATGGAAAATGTAAATGAAACACTATCTGTATGTATTGAAATATCTGATAAAGTAGAATATTGTGTATTTTCTGTTGTTTTCTGAGAGAATACATAATTATTCAAATCCTCGAAAGTTACGGAGTAGTGGTGCAAATTTGCATGAGAATCCCAGAAGTTTCAAAGAGGGTGGCTGTTGAAATGTCAATGATTTTTTCCAATTTCAAGTGCACTGAAATGTTTTGCTAATGATCTAGGCTAGCCTATTAATGTCACTGGGAGTAACAGAAATGAGATGGCCGAAATAAAATGACCATAAAATTGAAGCAATGGGCTCAGTGTATTGAACCCTGAATCAAGCATAATCATCAATGGGGTCATGCAACCATAACAGAAACCTGCCCTGCTTTAGCTTTCCTGGAAGCAGTTTGCATCTTAAAGAGATGGCTTTCTGAGGTGACCTAAGGGCTGTAATGTTAAGTATTGTGGTCAATTTAGACAAAGAAGTTTCTGCACTGACATCTTTTACACCTTGGAGAACTTCTGTGACCCAGCCAGTGTCTTTTTCATTTCAAAAACAGAGATGAAAGAAGTACTAGAAAAACACTTGGCAGGGAAGAAGCACAAATAGAGAATTTCTTTGGTAAACTGATGTCTCATTAGATTTTACAACCAGCAATTGGAATATTCTTTAGCATCGAGGAAAAAATATGTAAGAACAAGAAGGGGAATCCTTAAAAGAGAGAACCTGGCTTCCTGCTTACCAGGGCAGGTGAAAGCTTCATTGTTGTCTTTTTCTCTTTTTTAAAACAGCTTTATTAACATATACTTTACATACCCTAAAATTCACCCATTTGAAGTGTACAATTCATTGATTTTTAGTGTATTCACAGAGTTGTTCAACCATCACCACAATTAATTTTATTAATTAAAATTATATTAGTATTTTCAATGTCGTGTCTTTTAGCAATCAATCCCCATTCTCTCCCACCCCTCATTCTCAACCACTAGCCTACTTTCTGTCTTTATGGATTTGTCTGTTCTGAACATTTCATACAAATGGAATCCTACAATATATGTTCTTTTGTGAGGGACATTTCACTTCACATAATGTTTTCAAGGTTCACCCATGTTGTAGCATGATTCAGTATTTCATTCCCTTTGATTGATAATTAATAATTCATTGTATGAGTACACAACATTTTGTTTATCCACTCACCTGTAATTGGACATTTCAGTTGTTTCCATTTTCTATGTTATTATAGAGAATTCTGTTATAAACACATTTGTGCGAGTTTTTATGTAGACGTATGTTTACATTTCTCCTGAGTAGATATGAGTAGAATTGCTGGGTTATATGGTAACTCAATGTTTAACGTTTAGAGGAAATGCTAAACTATTTTCCAAAGAGCATGTTTTATATTCCCACTGGAAATATCTGAGGATTCCAATATCTCCACATCATCACCTATACCCGTTATTCCCTTTCTTTTTTATGATAGCCATTCTAAGTGAGTGTGAAGCAGTATCTCTTTATAGCTTTAATTTGTGTTTCCCTGATGACTAATGACTATGACAATACCTCCATGTGTTTACTGCCCATTTATATATCTTTTTAGAGAAATGTCTATTCAAATCCTTTGCTCATCTTTTACTCATTTTTATAGGGTTATTTCTTTTTTTTTATTTTTGCGTTATAATAGTTCTTTATGGATTCTTGATACATGTTATTTATAATATGTTATTTTAAGATACTTTTTCTCAATGTGTGGGTTTCTTTTACTTTAATGATGGTGTCCCTTGAAAAACATTTTTTTTTAAATTGATGAAGTCCAATGTATCAATCTTCTCAGTCATTTGTTCATTTTGCAATGTATCTAAAAAAGCGTTGACTAATCCAAATAATAAGGATTTACTTCTGTATTCATTTCTAAGAGTCATATGGTTTTATCTCTCATATGTAGGTCCATGATCCATTTTTGAGTTAATTTTTGTGAATGGTGTGAGATAGAAATCCAACATCATTCTTTTGTGAGTTTTCCCAACTTCATTTGTTGAAAAGGCAATTCTTTCCAGATTGGATCATCTTGGCTCCTTATTAGGAAATCAGTTGATCATAAATGTTAGGAGTTATTTCTGGATTCTTACAAACCTATCCCAGTCATCTATATGTCTATTCTAATGCCAATACTACACAGTCTCCATTAAAGTGTCCCTTAAAAAAATTTTCATTCTTTAATGGTGATTATAAATTGTAGGTAATTTATGATTCTGACATCCCCAGTGGGGAAAATTTTAAATAGTTAAGCCTTTCCCTTTTAAAATATAACTGTGTTTATCTTTGAAATCTAAAAGTCTGGGAAATACTGTTTTTGTCTAGGTTTCCCAGGTATTACTAACTCATGGTTGTGAAATCTTATTCAGTGTAAAATTGCAGGTGTTCCTCAGAAGACCAAATGACCCACACATGGTTTTCTTGATCTGACATTACGTACCATGTGTTCCTTAGACTGAAGAATAACTTGCTTGTCAAAGCTTTTACTTTGTAATAATCATGGGCCAGGTTTATATTTCCATTGGTTCTGGAAGTAAAATCACCCATGATTATACAGAAAACAGCAGAGAGGTAGGAAGCACAGCTCTTTAGCAACCAGCCACATGCAAAAGCAAAATAGCTGCCTTGCTATTGCAGAGGGGAAGCAAATGATCTCTTTAGAAACATTCAATATCTTCTTTTAATGCCTGTTCCCATTATCTGATATATATTTATATTTCACATTACTTCTGATATGTTCAGAGATATAAGTGGAATGATGCTGATCTATACCCCAAATAGGTTTAGCACGGACATGCATTTAAAAAAAAAATGTTTTTACCTTTTTTAGAATATACCTACATTAATCAGAAATTGAAGGGTGGACTTTATGCATCTTAAATGTGTTTGTAACACATCTTGCCTTAAAGGTTCCCTTTGAATGAACAGTTTGGTGCTAAGTTACTCTTTGCAGAAATGCCCTTGTCATTATGAGTAGCAGACAACTTTAAAGGGATCTAATTAATCCCAGGTTATGGCTGCAAATAAAATGTTTCTACCTCAGTGGATTTTACCAAGTAAAAATGTTTAAAATAAATAAATAGTCTCCCGGGTAAGATTTCCAGGTTCAGAATTATCTCCCAGCTCTCATTAACATTCATAGAAAAAAAAAAAAAAGGTAAAATAAAACTACAAACAGCTGAAAGCCTCTGATTAGAAGTCTGTTCTTTTGCTAACAATACATTGTTTAACATTTAAAAAGAGAAAAAAAATCAAATTAGAAATCATTTTTAACTTACGTTTCTGAAAGATTAAAAACTCGCTGAGGATCTCCATTCTCAATGGCATATGTTATTGGATCTCCCTCTCGATCAGTTGCCTTCAGAGATAAAATATAATTCAGTTGTCAAGTAATTGATGTGGCTTCTATTCAGTACAGAGTAATACAGAAACTTGAAACTAACAGCACAGAATATCCATGATACTCTTAAAAAATAAAGATAAAAGCATGGCCTAATGGCAAGATAAAAAATAAAGAATTTCATATTTGATCCTGGCATTTTTGAATATACACATAATCTTAGCTGGTGGAGAAATACAGTAATGGTTTTCCCAAGCTCTATTTATTAAATGTAATGTAATTAATTTTATTTTACATTGTATTTAATTTTATATGAGTCTATCTCGATAATTTAAACAAATATGTTAAACTCTACATAAATGTTTACAATAGCAAAAGGTTTTAAGCATATTGTTTTGTTTTGTTTAGAATATATCAAGATAATAATTCAAATCAGCAAAACTTTCTGGTTAAGAATACTGAATCTTGGAGCCAGAATGACTGAATTCAAAATTGGGCTCCATTTACCAATTGTGATTATTTCTCAATTCCTTCATTTATAAAGTAAGGACTATAAAATTACAAATGTTAATAGATGTTGAGTGGTTTAGTTGAAATAATTTATGTCAAGACATGTAGAATAACATCTGGTACATTGCAAGCTTTATATAAATATTGACCTTTTTTGTTGGTGTTTTCTTCTCTCTCTTGCTAAAGCCAGAGAAAACAAAACCTACAGCTTCTGATATTGAGTTCTGGGTTTTTCTTGCCCAAAATAAAGACATACATCCTACTTTGTGGCACTGGAGTCTGGGGTTTGACCTCCAAAAACATCCAATAATTTCCTTTTCCAATGAGTCATTGAATCCACTTATGGAAGACACAGATGAAAAAAAAAAAAAATCTGAATGCTGTGGGAGGGATATGATGTCAGAGGGATCTTCCTAAGGATGACACTAGGAGTAGAGGAAATATCTGATAAAGGGCTAGATTAAGTTTACTTATAGGTTACTGGCCTGCCAGAAACAACAGTCTCTCCATTGACAGGCAAAGCCCTGGAGATGGCAGGACCTAAGAAAGGGGTAGTTGTGAGGGTTCCTTTAGATAACTGGACAGTAACTGTCCTTGCCATAAGAACCTAAGTGTGAAATCTCATGTCCAGATGGGCAGGAGGGTACTGTTTCTACCAGTAGATTGGATGGCTTTGACATAGATTACATAGCCCTGGTCATTGAACATCCTTATTAGCTACCACAATGGATTGGTGGCCAGAAGCCTCTCTTGGACCACATAAACCCAGAGTCCAGGGACAACTGAAAGTAACGACTCAGTTAGTAATAAACTACTGAATATTTACTACATGTCAGGTTCTGTGAGAAAAGTGTTGCAGGAGTATTTATTTAATCTGTGCCTCACAAAAGTGCCCCATGCATGAAATACTTTCTTCACATGGCTCCCTCGACATTATATTCTCCTGCTTTTAATCCCACATTATTGGAAAATCTTCTCATTTTCCTTTGCTGATTTTTCCTGATTTTTAAGGCTTTTTTACATTGGATTGCTCCAAAGGTTGCTCCTTGAACTTCCTGTATTTTATAACTTCATCCAATAGTTCAGTGTTAAATACTATCTGCCTGCTGAAGAATCGCATTCTCATATCTCCAGGCCAGCCCTTTCCCCTGAGTTTCAGACTTATACCCAATTGCCTACTTGAATCCCCAGTTAGATAAATAATAAGCGTCCCTAATTTAAAATGTTAAAACCCCAAGTCCTGATCTCCTCCCAACCCCAATCCACCATGAAAAAGACAAAACAACCTGTTGCTTTCACAAGCTTCATGAACTCTACAAATATCAACTCCTTCGTCCTACTTTCTCAGGCTTTGTATCTTGACTCCCGTTGCTTACTCTTACTATCCAATGTAACCCATCAGCAAATCTCACTGGATCAACCTCAAATAGTTGCTGTAACTGGCTGCATCTGAATTCCTTCCTACCATCTTCCTCTTGGATTACAGTAATACCCATTTTACTAGCAGGCCTGTTTTTTCCCTTGTGCCCTCACTACAGTCAAATTTTAACAAAACAGACAAAATGACCATTTTAACCAGTCAGGGGTTTTATTTCTTTTGGGTAAAGCCTATTTCATTTACATACACACAATTTTACAAATGCACACAATAAGATTGATAGTAGATTCTTGATAATTCCCTCTTGTTTTCTGTTCTTTGCTAGATATAATGGAACTACAAATTCTGATAGTGAACTTTTTGAAGAAACCCAGGATTACACTGTATCTAGAGACTATATTTTATCACTAAAATGCTTACAAGAATTAAGATTTGATTATGTGGGTATATGTGCACTAAATATATTTCTATATGCATAAATTTTAAAATATTTTTCTACATATGAGTTTAACCAAACATCTCAAAAGAACTGCTTACTCTATGTCAGAAACTACATTAAAATTGTGCATGCCTTGCCTCGTTTAAGCCTTACAGTAGCGTTATTGGTAAACAGAAAATGTGAAAGACTGCAATTATATTTCTATTTCCACCACCATTCCTATTAGAGTTCTCTATAGTTTACTTAATTAAATGAATTATTAATTATTAAATAAACTTAATTATTATCTAGAGATAATAATCACTGATTCATCTTGAAAAAAGAGATAGTGTGATTTAATGTTTTCAATAATATAACAGACAGGAACTACTCTTCCTTGGTGCAAAAACATTTCTTATATCTTCATGTTTGATAAATCGAATCAAATTGAAGCCCCTTCTTCAAGGTCTTAGAGAAGTACAATAGCAGGATAGCAGTTATTTTCTTTGGGCTTATCATGGAGTTTACCAGGGAGTGTCTGGAACAGGCTACTTAAGTTCCAGACCCAGATGTACCATTTCCTATTAGGCAAGGTACCTAAGTACAAAATGAAGATAATAATAATAATGATACTTACTGTATTCACTCATTAATTCAACAACTATTTATTTAACATCTACACTGTATTAAGTACTGGACCTTCAGCAGTGACAAAAATCCTGCCCTTATAAGGCTTACATTGCCATGGGGGAGAAAAAGAAAGAAATGAAATAATTTATTCACATATATTTTTATCAGATCCTTATAAGTGTTGCTAAAATATAAAATAACTCACAATGAACATATAGTGAGGGCAGGGTGAAGATGTGCGCTTTTATAGAAGTGATCAGGACAACTGTACTGAAAAAGCGAAATTTTGGCAAACCTTTGCAAAAGGTGAGAGTCACGTGGGGAAGAACATTCCAGGTGGAGAGCATAGCAAGTGAAAAGGCCATGAGGTGGAAACTTGCCTAATGAGTATGAGGAACAGGAGGAAGTTTAGCAAGTGGAAGACTAGCTGTTCAGTATTTTTTAAGATTTTTTGTGGGGGGAAACTGGCCAGTATGGGGATCAGAACCCGTGACAGTGGTGTTATAAGGCTGTGCTCTAGCCAACAGAGCTAACCAGCCAGCCCACTCCTTAACTTTGTTTGACCATTTAAAAGCCGCAGGTTAAATAACTGAATTAGCTGGCAAGTAATGGAATTTAGCTATTGGTTTGCTGATAAATGTGTAACAACATGATTGAGGTTATAGTTAGTCTTTCCTTTAATTTTTGCTTGAAGGACAAATAATACCTTTAAAAGTCAAAGCAACTACTTTTTCTAGTCTACTTAAGTTATGTACTGCATTTGAATTTGAGTCAGTGATTTTTCAAAAGCACCAATAGGAGCACAAAAGTATATATACAAGAATGCAATGTTCTTAGACAATGGAAAATGGAAATTTTGAAAACAAAAACAAATTTTCTCTAAAAATTCTGTTCATGTTAAAGATGAACACAGCCATCAAATGCCATCTGGTAGAGCGCACTTTATGCTCACAGAATGATTCTATACATTTCACAGGACATCAAGACAAAGCACCTACCCTTAGGTATTCTAAAATAGGTAAAAGTCAATGGATTTAGATGATCTTTTCTTTTCTCACTTAGGCGAACAAGTTCTGATTTATGTTATTAAACCACTTGAGAGCAAGAACTGAAGCTTTCAATTTGGTACAATAGAGTTTCCAAAAATATGTGTTTGTGCACTACTGGTGTTAAATTGTTGGCCCTTTAAACAAAATGTTAATATTTATGAATATAATTAAATGTTAATTAATGCATAATTCTATTTATGTCAACTATGTCACTTTGTCATTCATAAATTGGATATGACATTTCATTTTTGAAATAAGTTCATTTAAAAAAAGTCAGTTTAATCAATATTCAAAAAAAGTAAATAATATAATACATAATATGCAAATATAACATATCTAAACATGGAAATTTAGCTAAATATAGAATGACAAAAATATACATATGATTCAAAATTCAAAGATGTTGGGAAATGACATATGAAAAGGTCATAGGACTCCAAACACCTAAACTTTTCTTTCAATGTTGGTATTGATTAATCATCTTTTGTTCAAGAGGCCAAATAAAATGCTTTATGTTAGGAGTGCATAGCAGAATCTCTGCTGGCTGTGTCAGAAATGACTTTCCATTCACAGAAATTTCTGTAAATTAAGAAAACTTTATAAGCAAACGTACCTGGACTTTGGCTAGATTTAGGGAGAATCTATGGAAAGTCCAGTCTCCAAAACTTTTGTTGCAAAAGTGGGTAACCTTGAGACACAAAGGGATTTAATCCATTCTAAAATGGGCCTGCAGTTCTAATTTCATCCAGGACTCAAGGAACAATCAACAAAATAAACTTAGAATTAATACAAATATTCAGAGTAACCCATTCAAATAATGACAGTTACCACTTTTATCCCTATTATGTATTAGGCACTTTACATACCAAATCTCATTTAAACCTCAAAACAATCTTATCTGGTGAGCACCATGATCCCTTTTTTACAGATGATAAAATCTAAGCTTAAAAAGTTAAAGAATTTGTCAGAGTCTACACACTATTAACTATAGAAGCATAATTCAAACACTCTGCCCTCTGGAACTCATTTTCCA